TTGTGCAGCAGCATGTCTTACAGTGCCTTGCGAAAGTATTCGGCCCCCTTGAACTTTTTCGACCTTTTGCCTAGGGTTGAGTATCGAGTATCGATTGGAACCGAGACTAACTTTTCGTTTTTCCCGGAATCGTTCAAAAGTTAAAATTTCGATTCCTAGTTTCGATATTCACAGTCCGCCGAACGGAAGAAGAAACCGCTGAACAACACCAATGAAGAAGCGTCTACTGGAAGTGTTGGCATAACCACGCGAGTCGAACATGAGTACCTTACGTCGCTTCACTTTTCTAAAAATAACGAAATCTCGGCAAAATGCAAAATTTGTGACAAAAGGAGTATTTTTACAGAAGGAGTATTTCCTTCAGAAAGGATTATTTCCTTTAGAAAGGCCATTGGTTAGCAAGGTTAGCTAAACTTTTTTGACCGTGCCTCTTAAAAGAATCGGAATCGAGAATCGTTAGGAACCGGAATCGAAACAAGGAATCGCAATCGGAATCAGAATCGTTCAAATTCAAACGATACCCAACCCTACTTTTGCCGCATTTCAGACTTCAAACATAAAATCAAACGTCATTTTTTGTGAAGAATCAACAACAGGTGGGACACAATCATGAAGTGGAACGAAGTTTATTAGATATTTCAAACGTTTTTAACAAATAAAAAACTGAAAAAATTGGGCGAGCAAAATTATTCAGGCCCTTTACTTTCAGGCCCTGTTTACACAAGAACACTAGCGGGAAAACGTAAAATTATTTTATCGGACGTGCCTTTCATTTACACGGCTTGAAAATGCAAAAAAGTGAAACCACCCAACAAGACAAAGATCCAAAACATAAAGCAAAATCTACAATGGAATGGTTCACAAACAAACATATCCAGGTGTTAGAATGGCCAAGTCAAAGCCCAGACCTGAATCCAATCGAGAATCTGTAGAAAGAACTGAAAACTGCTGTTCACAAACGCTCTCCATCCAACCTCACTGAGCTCGGGCTGTTTCAGTCTCTCGATGTGCAAAACTCATAGAGACATACCACAAGCGACTTACAGCTGTAATTGCAGCAAAAGGTGGCGCTACAAAGTATTAACTTAAAGTCCCCGTGAAATCAAAATTGAACCTATTTACTTTGTTAGCGCATATTACTAGTCTTGTGGTGAACAATTAATCCGTGCAAGTGAATATATATAAAAAAAATGTTTTACCTTGGTAATCTTTAATCAAAATCTGAAAAGTTACTTCCGGTCTGGAACGGTTTCTTTTTCTGATGACGTAGGTTTCACAGTTTGGGTGGGGAACCGCTTAACCACTCCCCTCAAACCGTTAGGTTGCTATGAGCGAGAGATGGAGAGGAGGAGCGCTAGAGTAAAACCCTGCCCTCTGTTCAATATTCCGTTTCACTTGGAAATACGTCACAGCACTGGAGAAAAATCGTTTGCAACTTCCGGTTCACGGGGACTTTAAAGGGGTGCTTCGGGATTTTGGACATCGGGCCTCATTTCAAAGTGAGCCTTAGTGTTATTTATCAGTAAAGACATTTAAAAAAAATAAATAATCCAGTCGTCCCAGTTGCTTAGTTGGCCGGTGCTAGGCTAGCGCGAATCATTGGTATCTGTATTAGCATGCCATTAAAACAGTTTTAACCACTCCACAGTTCACCAAAAGCACATCAATTATAACACCAGACTATCGATGTAAATGTCTGTTGAGGGAATAATGTTAGAAATCAAACTACCCTTTCATCGCATTGCAATAGAACACTTTGTTCCCTCTATCTATTAGCATAGCCTACAGCAGCGGAGTGATATGTTACCTAGGCAACCGAGAGAGCCGGTCCACATGACAATCAATCACGCAAGTGTATTACCTGCCGCTGATACTCGTCATCACTACAGAAACAGAGTTTATTTCAATAAATAATATTGAAAACGTTCAATACATAATAGTGTAACTAACGTTATACCGTCAGTTACACTATTGTGTCACTCTCCACAATGCCTTGAACTGTAACATTATCGCTACTAACGTTAGTTACACTATAGTGTCACTCTCCACAATGCATTGAACTGTAACGTTATCTCCACTAACGTTGTCAGTGTCGATCTATCAGTTATGAAAGAGTAGCTTCATTAGCTGGAGGTTAGAGTAGACTAACAAAAGTTATTACCTGTTCATCTGTAGCTGTTGGTGCATCGGGAAAGACGGCTGGAACTGCATTCGAACTCAGTGACTTGTTGTCGTTTCTATCACTTTGTACAAACCCAGATAGCAAACTGACATTGAATCAACGTGGAAACATGACATCGAAACAACGTTGATCTGACATTGTTTTGCTCATCGGATTAACGTTGAACCAACGTCAGATGCGTCATTCTTTCAAAACTAACGGAAAATCAACTTGAAATCAACGCGTTGTTTCAACGTTATGAATGCAAACCAATTTTCGATTTTCATTTACCTTTGAAGAATGCCTCGTCTGACGTTGGTTCAACGTTAATTCGATGAGCAAAATCAACGTTGTTTCAATGTCATGAGAGACGTCGTTTCCACGTTGATTCAATGTCAGTTTGCTGTCTGGGAAGTCATCCGATCTAAAATGATCACTAAATTCGGGCCTTTAGTAGTGTCTCTGTCGGTGTATCCATATCCAAGCCAGCAGCAAGAAGCCACAGTTTGTTCCTTTCTCGATCTCTTATTGGAAATTTGTGGAAACTTTTTGTTGACCATTTTTTGGGTTTATTTGTAAAAATACAGTGAAAAACCATGCTGAATATTCTTTAAATTCTGATCGAATGTTTCAAAATCGAGGCTACTACTAGCTAACTTGACGTTCCGACTGTAACGTAGTGCGATTCTGTTGTGTTTACTTTCCGGCGCAACTCTACTCTCGGAGCAAAATAAAATTCCGCCACTGCTGAGAAACTAGTTCTTGTAAATGTAATGCGATCATTGAATATGTCATTTGATATGTCAAACTACATTGAGTAGTTTGATTTCTAACATTATTCTATCAACAGACATTTACATCGATAGTCTGGCGTTATAATTGATGTGCTTTTGGTGAACTGTGGAGTGGTTAAAACTGTTTTAATGGCATGCTAATACAGATACCAATGATTCGCGCTAGCCTAGCACCGGCCAACTAAGCAACTGGGACGACTGGATGATTTTTTTAAAAAAATGTCTTTACTGATAAATAACACTAAGGCTCACTTGGAAATGAGGCCCGATGTCCAAAATCCCGAACCACCCCTTTAAGGGGGCTGAATAATTTTGCTCGCCCAATTTTTCAGTTTTTTGTCTGTTAAAAAAGTTTGAAATACCCAATAAATTTCGTTCCACTTCATGATTGATGATTCCTGTTGATGATTCTTCACCAAAAATACTTGATCTGCAGAAGCAGCAGCAGCGTAGCAGATCAATTCCACTAAGACCAAACATATCAAGATTGTCATTTCCATCACCAACACTCAAGAGTTGACAGAACTATCCTTTTTAAAAGTACAGACAAACTAAATGAAGATAAGCATTTAAAAGAAAAACAGAACTATAAATATTGAAAGAGACATCGCTTTCACTTTTACCTTTTTTTCCCTCAAATGAAGTGTAGTCTGTTTTAAATTCAGCGAGGACTCTTCTGCCTGACAGTACAGCGGTGTGAAACTGCAGGCCTTTCTAGCTGTCAGAAGCCCACGTTTCACTGCTGTTTGACAGGAGAAAGAGAGATAGACTGTTTGTGCTAAAATATGGCCATTTTGTTCATGGGTATATGCACATTATTTGTATTTAGAGTTTTTATTATTATTCTGTTGATCTAATTCTCTTACATCCTATATGGAATGGAGGTATGGATGGATGTCAAATGTATAAATAAAAATTATTTTTATATCAGGTGTCTCTAACTACTATGTACTTGCATTCAATCTAAAATGTTTGGAACAAAGCACTTATTTTGCTGATGTTGTAAACAGAAAACATATGGTTAGTCATATATTAACTATTAATATGTATTTAGCACTGTGTTTTTTTTCAAATCTCTAGCATTAAATGTACAATAGCAATAGTATTATTTTACTAACAAATATAAACATTCGAGTTGTCATAGTGATATTGAATTCTGAATAAAGAAACTTATTTGTGTTTGAGCGAGTTAAATCCCTTGTTTCCACTATTCTCCCGTGACTGCTCATCTGCCATTTAACACATTTCCTGTAGCGTCTGAATGTCCATCATAACATCAGGAGGCAGCACATAATGAGACACAGATAGATGAGCACTTGAGTGACATCATATAAGATGTATACGCATGGAATTATCTTTGCAATATTCAAGCCTGAAGTCCATGTTAGTCAAGGTTCCTCTACCAAACACAGTAACAATTTAACGTTTCATGTTTTTCCACCCTGATCTTTATAATCAAACAGACTGTTTTTGCCACTGTATCTTTAAATTGTAAATGTGGATGGCCATATGAGCTCATGGTTTTGATTTATATTTCATAATGAATCATTTCTAACAGTTTACTTTCAATAGATGCACTAAATTGACTTTGCCGTATGGCACAAGTACTGTACATCTCAACCCGGTCTCATCCCAAGACGTCATATAACTGACGTTTTGGGATGTCTTTTGACCATACGTCAATATTCGCCTTTTTAGGGCCCCCTTAAACGTCAGTAGATGAGGTTATGGGATCCTAACTCTACCCCAGACCTAAACCTAACCCGTCACCTAACTGACGTTAAAGGTAAAGCGTCAGTTGTATGACGGCCCGGGATCGCCATCTATCGACGTTTAAGGGGGCCCTAAAAAGGCGGATATTGACGTATGGTCAAAAGACGTCCCAAGACGTCAGTTATATGACTTTTTGGGATGAGACTGTGTTATACATCAATATTATTAAAATCAGAATAAAAAATGCCTGGACCCTTTAAAAATATTCAATTGATTATTATGTACAGTAATATAGTGTTTCTGAATTAACTGTGTTTTTATGTGTTGTACAGAGAGATGAACCTGATGGACCTGAGGAAGACACTAGGAGTATCACATCATCTTCAGTTATGGTATGTCAATCTCTTCCATCTTTTTAAAAAAAAACCCAACAAATTAAAAAAATAAAAAAATATATATATATATATATATATATATATAAAATGTACATCTAGTTCAGTCATAAACTCTAGATGGCACAGGCTGATAGGTCATTTACAAACAATTACACTAATACCACATGGCACAAGGGGATTGGCTTGGTGATTGTCCTCCATGACCATATTATGTTTATTTATTTATTTAGACAGATCCATAATATTAATTTAGGAGACACTTTTATCCAACAGTAAAATACAAATGACGAACACTACAAACAGTATTTGTATGTAGAATCTTCATCATATTGCATCATGCTGTATTTTACAGGAACTACTATCATCATGAATCGATAAGCCATACTACACAGTGTTTGGAGGAGAGGATTGAGTTCTATTTCAGGCAATTTTGCACATTTCTCAAACCATTTCCTAGCAGAGTATAGAAACAGTCTTCTCCCAGAACCGCATGCAGGCGTTTGAAGGACAGCCCCCTCAGTGAATGCTTGGCTTTTTTAATTATCGTAGAGGTGACACCTCTTCCCCGAGTATCTCTCACCTGAGCTGTAAACAGGGCTGTGAACTTTGCCGTCAGCGGCACGACCCTGAGTGTCATTGATGAAGGGAAAAGCTCATTAATACACACTCAGCGAGAGACAACACAACACGGCCAACAGATAAACAATAAATTGCCCTTATAGGTAATTTCTGATGTGTTTTTACAGCACTTCAGAAAGATAGTGTTTCATGTTTGTGAGTATGAAAATCTTACAGAAATATTGATTGCTGTACTGTTATTTCCACATTTGTGATGTTATTATGTGTTAATAATCATGCAAATTCTGGTGAGCACAACCAAGGACATGAGGACCAGGTGTCCAAGTCTAGGTCGTAGAACCTCACAAATGTGTGCGGAGAGGACCAGCCCACCGCTTAACAAACTTTTAGGGATATCCCTGACAACAAGGCTTTGGAAGCCACCATATTGCTAGTTAAATGAGCTCTGACAGCCATAGGTGAAGTCTGTCTACACGCCTCTAATGCAAGAGAAATAGCGATTATCACGATTTTCCACTTGCTTTGGTTTATTGTCCAGGTGACCCAAATCAACTGATAATACATTTGCCACAGGGCAGCTTTTTGAACATAAACATCCGATGCTCTGACTGGGCAAGTTTAGCTTCTCCTGGTCTGTCGTCCAAAAGGGAGTAGAGCAAAAGGCCAGCAACACTATAGATCACACCACAGTTGTGGGGAACTTAGGCACATACCCCAGTCTAGGTGTAGAAAATAGGGATGTGTCCAAAGCCTAAAGGCCTGTTCACACCGGGACGAATTTCGTGCGCGTTATTCGCCGACGTTTAACGCCTCGTGACTAAACAAAGGGCGCCAATGTGAGTGTGCACACCGACGCGTAAAACGCCACTCGTAAAAGCGTCATTTTTTTTAAAAACGCCTCGGGTTCGTTTCTTTAGTGTGACGTGTTGCGTCAAAAACTATCCGACCAATGAGATTGGCGCTTTTGCTCACGTGTTTGGACCTTCTGAAATTGCAGTAAAACATAACTTGGGGGTGCTTAAACACAAAACGGTCTTGCCGAGCACACATATGCTACGGCGAAGAAGATATACGCCAAGTAGCGTCACCGTCTACACAGCAACGAAGAAATAAGACGAGGAAGATGAATGTAGAGCTGCTGTTCTCGTTGGTGCTAGAACATAAAGAACGATATGACAAACGCCACAGGGACTACAAACATCTTGATGAAAGAAAACTGATATGGAGTGGTATTGCAGAGCAAATCGGCACCATCTAATGTCAGGGAATGAACTTGCATGTTCACTCGTCTCATCGTCAGCGAAAATCGCTTTGGTGTGAACACAAAAAATGCGATGAAAAACGCTGACGAATAACACACGCTGATATTCGTCCGGGTGTGTGCGTACTTTAATCCAAATTCAGAAGAGAGTCGATGTAAGACAATGAGAACAACAGAATAATCTGAAAACGAGTTATGTATTCTATGACGCCCCTAAAGGGATATGGTTAGGTTTGCTGCAGAAGTCGGTTACATCACATTACATCAGATTTCACTTATTATGTAAAGAGCTGAGGAACGCAGGCGAAGGTGAGGATCTAAATGTAGGATTTTAATAAAGTATTAACAGATAAAACAGAACAAAGGAACAAAACCACGAGTAACAAAAGCAACCATTACATAAAACAACTGACAAAGTAACAAGTGAAACACAAGGGCTATAAATACACAGGGACAAACAAGCTAAACAAGATAACAAGGGGGTGGGGCTAGTTTGAAATACCTGGAGAGATTACAAAACATTTCACAGAACAAGAAATAACAAAAGTCCACACAAGACAGGAATCGTGACATTACATGAAGATAGTGAGGAAAGATAGATAACTGACAAGACGATGTCTGAGGATTTGGTGCGCAACAGATCCTCACCGTCATTGACAAATATCTTATCTTGTAAAATGTGTGATAAATACCGCCACGCCCTATACACAGAGTATATGTAATGGTGAATTTGAAAGTGAAAGTGATAGTTCACATTTAAAAGCGATTTAAATACACTGCATGTTAATAGCAGCTCCTAGCCTGGCTAACGCCAGACCACATATCATTGAGAATGAGACGTGGTCTGGAAACCACATGTTCATTTTCTCGTATTTGAGGCGTGGTTTACGAATGCATTTATTGGGTGATACGAATGTCTATCAAATGTGCCTGTACGTAGCTCATAGCCAATCGGTTCAATTATACCAGATGACGCATGTAGAGCGACAGAAAATTAGACGAGGAAGAAGACGATGGGTCAGAGATTTAGGAGCTTTATGTATACACAAAGTCTGTATCAAAAGGTAACTTCACGTCTACTGCCAAGATGGAACCATAAATATAAACAAAGTAACTGCTTCGGTGTGTCGCATTTAAGTCGTCATTGTCTTGCTGCTCCCTCCCCGTTCTGTGATTGGTTCCCTATCTCAGGTGAAAATATGGTTCATGGTGTCCAGGCTGCCTAGCAGCGTGAATAAAATCAAGGCAGCATGGGGAAACCCAGGCTAAGTAGCTCCCTGATATCCGCAAATATACAATATAATTACCCAACTATAGAATTGCGAGAGAACGCAAAAACATTGAAATATATTTTTTCCTCCCTTTAGAGGCTCTGTAGAATGCGTAATTTCCTTTCCGAACATAGTATTTGGATTCATGCACATCACATTTTCCAATAGAAAAGTTTTCACCATGCCAGGTGCAAACTCCAAACACAAAGGGGTAAATGACAGGGTCTGAAGGTCTCCTAGGCCCTCTCGAATGGCACACTTCATATGCACTTTCGGTATTCTGGACTTACAAATGTCTCCGTTAAGTCCATGAGACCGTAGGGTGTCCCATATGTCATTTTAAGTTTCAGAGGAGTGCTCGCAAGCATGTAACCTTGAGCATGTGAAACAAGTTGCCCCTCTGGGGAAAACCTCTTGGTCCTGAGCCACCACTGCAAAGGTCTCATGTATAGCAGGCCAAAAGGTATCACATTGGATGTAGCTGCCATCAGACCTAACAGTCTTTAAAACTATTTGACAGTGGCCTAGCTTTGTTAATGTCCGTAAGGATCGATTCAGCAGGAGACATGAGCCACAATCAATCAATCAATCAATCATTGATATAGGTCAGAGCGCAAATGCCCTGGAGTTGCAACGGAGCCAGACCTGCATCCACGCTTTCTGTGAGGTTATAGGTGACATGGCTAGACAGAAAAGAAAAACTCTGTACTGGTAAGCTTTGCCCCCAAAAAGCGCACTTGAGGAACTTCCTGTGTTAAGAAAAGGGGATATATGGAAGTATGCATCCTTGGGGTGTATCATTACAAACCAGTTGGATCTGATTTGAGTCACAATTCCTTTTTTTAAGTTAACATCTTGAACTTGAATGTTTTCAACATGCGATTCAGCTGACACAGATCTAGAATTGTACGTTAACCCCCCCCCCCCCCCCCCCCCATTCTTTGTCGGAGTGATAAAGTACCAGCTGTAGAATTCAGACTCTCCCCCGGGAGGAGGAACAAATTCTTTGGGCACCTTCCCCAAAATAGCTATGACTTCTTGTTCCATTACCAGAGCCTACCTGGGACCTACCACTGTGGGCAGGATCCTGTTGAACCGACACGGATGAGAACCAAATGAAATTCCATAGCCTCTTTGTATAGTTTGCAGGACGCACTGTCTTTGAGAAGTCAGCTTGGCACCCTGAAGTCGAAGACTGGCAGGGGACAACTGAACTGGCTTCTCTAAAGCCCTCCTCGGAGGGGGCAAGTCTCCCAGAGCCGCAACATCTTCAGGAGGACACTGAGACCCTGAACTCACTGGAAACTGCTGTGCCCTGGAATGACCAGAGTTGGCGGGGTTGGGAGAACAGTCCTCTGAGGGCAGGAAAAGCAGGCACCGTATGATGAATATTGATGAATACCACTTCACCCCACACACCACTTGTGTCAGGACCTCTTAGCCAAAGCCTTTTTGGTAAATAATGACGATATGCTCTACCCCTCGAAGGCTTCATGTGAGAGTGATGCTTTGACCCCCTTTTTTGGGGGGATGGCAGGTTTGTGGCTATGGAGGCGACACTCTGTTTATGCTGCATCTTCTACGAGAAGCTCTTAGATGGCAGGGACCCAGCAGCCCCTGAGACCTGAGCTTGGCAAGAGAGATACCTCTAGAATGCCACCGCTTGCTTCTTTGCCTCCTGAAACCTCTTGAAGACTAAAGTGACTGCATCGCCAAAAAGGCCCAGATAGATTTAACCAAAAATGCCTCTCCGTGGCCACCAGGGCTGCTAAAGATCGACTGATGACTCTGGCTGTTTCCTTGGTGTCCCGGCGAGACAAATCTGTTGCCCGGGCGCTGTACTTTAAAGGGATACTCCACTTTTTTTGGAAATAGGCTCATTTTAC